CTCCTGCACGGGAATGTAAAATCCATTTAAAGCATACGAAAGCCTCAGACCCTTAGAAAGATTCCCCCTCACTTCTTGTCATGCTTACAGTTATTTTTCAGATAATATGTAAGTGGATCTCTCCGCACAGTCAGAAATAAAAATATTTTTCTTTAATTGCACAGGGGAAGACTGGAGCCCCTGTCAGATTTGTAATTCTCTCTGTGTCCTCCCTGTTGCAGATTATTTTCCTCACTTTCTTCTGGGTGAAACTGGTGTCAACAGGCCAGGAAGTGAATTAGGATATCTCTAATGGAGCCACGGAGAGCAGTAACAACTCACTTGGAGTTGAAATCCTTCCCCACTCCATCCAAAACTAGAAACATTTTTTGCCTTGAAATAAACTGTTAAATATATCTAAAGCCTGGCCTTTTGAATTTATGAGCAGAGAATCGTTAAAACCCTTGTTGGATCCGTTTTGTTCCCACAATAAAGGAGAAGTCTGAAAAAAAAAACAAATATACTGCCCTCCCTGCAGCAGCAACAGCCTGATACTGCTGCTGTCCCCCACTGCTGGCTCTAAGCCTGAGAACTGAGGGATCACATGACTGCTGATTGCTCAGTTCTCAGTCTGCTCTCTGCTCTGCCCTTCCAGTGCTCCCTGGAGCTCCAGGTTGGGGATGGAGCAGAAGCAGCTGGCTTAGGCTCTCGGAGACGTGTTGAGAAGCCAAGTCCACTGTCGATTGCGCATCTGGGTGGATCCTGACATTTTTGTCATATTCCTTTCAGAGCCTAGAGTGGCTTAGTGTCGCCAGCCGACAGCAGGCTTTAGCTCACTGTCAGCTGATTCTGGGTCACATGAGAGCACAATTAGGTGCACTCCTGGGACCCACAACAGAAGTATGGCTGAAAAAAAGTAATATTTCCCTTTACTTCCTGCCAAAGACACAACAGGAAAAAAGAGCATATCTTTCAAAAGAGAAAAGAAACATCCAATTAGTTGTCACAGGAACAGGAGTCCCCATTAGAAGATTCCCCTTTTATTGCTGTTCCTGTGACACCTGTAAAATGTTAGATTTTCCATCATTTTCAGTCCCGGTGACATTGGTCATCAGGACAAATAAAGAGGGGCAATCTCCCCATCAGGAACACAAAAAGTGCTAAAAACACAGGTTCTAATGCATACAGTAGGTGCTCAACCTGGGGCCCTCCAGCTGTTGCAGGACTGCTGTCTTTGGGAGTCATGTTTGTAACTGTCAGCCTCCCAATGATTCATGACATTTGTAGTTCTGCAACACTTGGAGGGCCACAGGTTCAGCACCTATGTTCTAACGATTCTCTTCTTCATCTAGAACTAAAATAAATTTTTGGCATTTAAAAAAACTTTAATATCTACACAGGAAGTTCTACAGGCTCCAGCAGCACAGTAAGGATGCTGATTGTATACATAAAGTGAGGTCTGGCACCATATGGTACCCACCATCTTCCAGACAGTGTAACATAGTCATGTTATAACAAGGTAGCATTTCAGATTAAAGTGGAGTTCCACCCAAAAGGAAAAGTTCCGCTTTAAAGACTGGTCCCCCGCTCCCCATTAAGGATTGGCACCTTTGGGAGCGGGTACCCGAAATTGACAGGTACCCACTCCCTCTTCCGCTGCGATCGCCTAGGCGATCGGAACCAGAAGTTGTCCTCCTACTTTCCCTCCCCAAAGTCTTGTGGGACACGTGACAAGTCCCAGAAGATGACGGGGCCATTCAGGCAGCGCAGCTCTACTCGCGCATGCACAGTGGGCACCGGGCTGTAAAACCGCAAGCTGTCACAGCCGGGGTGCCCACACTGAAGATGCCAGCGCCTGGAATACAGGACGGGCTGCGGCGGGGGCAACATGGGATCGTGGGACAGGTGAGTGGCTGTTTTTTTAAAAGTCAGCAGCTACAGTTTTTGTAGCTGCTGACTTTTATTTTTTTACAGTGTGAGTGGAACTCCGCTTTAAGTACTCTATTAAGAGCTGGAAATCTTTTCAGCACTGTACATAAAATAGTGAAGAGCATATATATATATGAATGACAATTATTTCTCATTGCATTGTGCCTCATATGTTTAAAAAAAAATAGCTCTTTTGTAGCCAAGGAAAAATAGAATGGAAGGGGCTCCTCTAAGGCACCATTCTTTCTGGTTCTTTCCAATCACTGAAACATTATTGAATATAACAGAAATATTAGCTGGTTCATACCAGCAGTGTTGTCCAATACAGGAACCAGGCAATTTGCCTTATGTCCTATGGCTTCAATTCACACCTACACACTACATTGGTGGGGGCTAAAAGAAAATAGGACATGTTGCACTTTGCACAGCCCAGTGTGTTCCAAAATTCTGCATTTCAGAGCAAAATTACTGTATGCATATTGGTGTGCATTGCATTATAATAGGTAATGAGCACGTAGTGTGCTGTTGTGTCCGTGTGAAACCAGTTTTTCATATGTGAATGCATCATATCTATTCATTAGCTGATGAAATAAAAATAAATATTTAGCATTTACCTTAAGGGAAGTATATTACATTTTGTACACCTCCTTAAAGAAGTCACCTTCAATACCTTTAAAAAAAAAGTTTGTACAATTTAGACTTTCATATAAAATCTGGCTAGCAAAGTAACTCATTTGAAACTATACACTACTCATAATGCAGCCAAAGAAGCAAATTACATGACTAAGAATGTATTAAATCAGATAACTTCTGTTATATACCTCTTGTTTTGTGGCCCCCTGACCAAACCCTCCTTAGGGGACTGGGGATCGACTAGATGGGTTTAAAAAAAAAAAAAACCTTCATCACTGATATCCGTTAAATGATCTGACATTTACCAGCCAAATAGTATGTATATGCAACCTGTAGGTGACCCAAGCATATGTAGCACAGTCCTAGGAAAGCTAGTTAACTATATTTGTAGTTAGAAGGCTGAATAGCAGCCAGGGATAAATAGTCAGGGGGGGGGGGTCACATTTTTGGTCAAGAGCTGAGAGGCTCTGCAGACCCACTCTCTGAAACCTCCCCCTGATCTAGAGACTTGGAGAAGTCTCTAGAATCCAGTGGGGTGGGGGTGAGGAGTGGCTGGTCTGTATGCTTAGATGATCCTGACCAATCCCAAAGCAGGCTTGGTAAGCAGTTGGGACAGCCTTTAAGTATAGCTGAGCCTGCTCAGTAGTGGAGAGAGTTCAGGTGGAAGATGTGAGAGCAGAAGTTGGAAGGTGGAGCCTGGGAGGAGGCCCAGGAAAGAGGCCTGCCTCCAAGGAGGAGCAGACAGTGGGAAAGCTGAATCTCACCGGCCCCGAGAGAGGACCATCTGTGGAGCTAAGGAAGGAGCCAACGGCAGCTACCAACCTGCAGCTTGCAGATGAGGGAAAAGGAGTACTTCTACACCCTCTGGACTGGAGTAGGAGAAAGAGCATTTGGGTGGGAATCCCAACCAACCCCCAACTGGACTGTACACCAAAGTGCAGATCACCTTGTCCAGGGATTCCTTTAGACAGCTGGATAAAAGAGGACTATCTGGGGTTTGGGGGTGGTATACCAGGAGAGGCTGTGAGCACTTTTACATAGTTCCAGGAAGTTGTCCTCAGTGTCACAGTTCCTTGGGCATCCTATGTTTCACTCATCCCCATCCAAGTTTAAAATCCCCTAATAAAATCCAAAAAACCAAGTTCAAGGACTGTTTACAGTCTCTGGGGTGCAAGACTGGAAGGAAATGGGTGTTGCCTGGCTGTGCAGGACTATAGGGGGACCCAAATCTTTTAAAATAACCACAATTAATAACATTGTTTTCAGGATTGGTAAGTCCTTGTTACCCAGAATTCATAGACTCAGAGAGACTTTTGGTTGTAAAAGAGCCTCCAAACCTTGATTACAGAGGCTTTTGGTCCTGAAGGGATTAAGCTGCCTGCAAGAGAGGCCCAAAGAGGAACAGGAAGCCTACAGCAAGCGTCTGTGAAGTGCAGTGTGTAGCACACAGCTGAGTGAATAGTGTGGACTAGCTTTTGACTGAGCCTCTGCTTACCAGCTGGAAACTTCCACTTTGGGACTCCTGAGTTTGTGGGCGGTGAGCAAAATGTTTGATTTTGTTGTACCAGGAGTGTAGACTGTTTGCTCCATTTTGACTAAAGGAAGCTGTTTTTTTTTGTTTCATCAATTTCAATAGACTGTTACTTTGATAAGTTGCTGGCTGGTGATATTGGACTCTCCAAATTATAGAGGGGCTGTGCCTATTCAGCCCTTACTTTGCAATATGGGTTTTCTGGGCTTCAGCAACCCTGTGAGAAGTCAGGCTCTGACACAGCAGTTTTGATGTGGCACCTCATGATGCCTGCTATTTAAAGAATAAGTTCACCTTTGCGAACATGCTACACGTTCCACCCGTTTTTATAGTGGAACATGTAACATGTTCCCATAGCTGCAGCCCCCCCCCCCCCTCTGACAGATAGTAAGGGGAAAAGTCTCCCCGTACTGTCAGATTTAAAAACAGCGTGGCAATGTGGGGCTCCACCCACATGACCTCGTCACTCATTCACAGAGTTCTGTGAATGAGTGCCTACAAGTCCCAGAAGCCTTAGGGGCTGTGGGCTTGTAGTTTTCAATGAACTACCATGGTGCTGTGGAGTGCCATGGTAGTTAATTGAAGCTTCCTGTCAGAATATCTGCTTGACCGTACATGCTGCGTGAGACCTGCGTGGAATCAGTGATCTATTGATCGATGGTACAATGCTCCTTTGGGAAAAAAAACATTAAATGCACATTTTTTTTTATATGCAAAAAAATGTGAATTTATTATTTTTGTCCAAAAGATGAACTTATCCATTAACTACAGTGCAGGTATAGTCCCCTTTATACTTTATCCGATATCCGTACAAATTTTTAGCTATGGGTTAAGCTGTAAGATGAATGTCACTACTGTCCCCTTACAATAAGGCCAACACCAGAAGGCTGACACAATTATGAGTGTACTGTATATGAAGCAATCATTCTGCATCTTATGATACCTTTAGCCATGTAAGATACCTGTGTTCTTACTTTTGCAGTCAATTTTTGCACGAGTTCTGGTTTCTGGAATCTCGGTTCCATTCTTGTAGACACACCAGCAATATCCGGTGCTTCTCCAGCACTGTTCAGGACTGTAGTCACCATTCTCATCGCATTGTGGTAGATAAGCACCAAGCTGAGTATGCTGACTGGCCCTCGCCATGCATTCTGACATCACAGGGGCACCTGATACATATAGCCGCATACAAATAGGTGAGTCCAGTTTAAAAGAAGGCTTATGGAATACATTAAAAAAAATTCATTCAGAAAATATTGTTACCCTTAGCAAACAAACTCTTCCTTTGAATCTTACCTTCTTTGATAGGAATGTTTCATCTTAAGTAAATGACTAGAATGCAATTGGTCTGAAAAAAGATTATGCCTTGAATTTTTCTGTTTTACTTCTTCTAACATTGTTTTTTGTAATGAGCACACAAGGACACTATTTTTACAGCATAGTAAATGTAATTTACATTAAAGTTTAGCAGAAAAAAAAATCTCTATAGCTTTAGGGAGATAACAAACCCAGAAAGTCCAGGCAGCAGGATCCTATAAAAATCTTCTTTGTAGGGATGTCCTGTCCTCTTCTTGGTGCTGAATTTCTGGCACTGCAAGGGTTAATAGCTTTAGGCCAGCCATGAAACTGCTGAAAAAAAAGTCCCTGACAAGGACCCACCACTTTTTCCCTCGTCTTCCTTTGTTCTTTCATTGCTTTCACTGTGATGATCTGTGAATAGGGACAAGGCTCTTGTTACTGATCAGATTCTTCCACATTCACAAATTGTGTTACAGGCACTGGAAGAACGTTCCTCAATGGAGGAGGGGTGTGTCTTTGTCAGGAAGTTTTTCACAGCAGCTTCAATGAAGACCTGGAAACTATTAACCATGCAGCACCAGAAGTTCAGAGACAGGAATAGGACGGGACATCTCTGTAGTGAAGATTTCTCCAGGGTCCTGCTGCCTGCATAACATGGGACATACTTCATAACAGGTAAGTTAGCTCACCAAGGCTATAAGAGATTTTTTTTTTCTGGCAAAACGTCAGCTTTAATGACATAATCTAAAAACAAATCACTATATATTTCTTGTAAAATACTGTACATATGTGCACATCACAAATGTCTAGGTGAACACATCATCAATGCAAAACACTTAAAAGGTACAAAAGTACCTATGATAAGACTTTGATCACAGAGGTCAGTCCCAACACTTAATATGTGAAAAGTTCATATAAGCTAAACTATTGTGCAGATAAGAAATGTTGAATTAACTATCTGACCTCTTATGCTTCTTCCTTTTTTTGGTCTTCTGACATTACAATGCACCCTCCAAGCAGATTGAAGCTCTCCATTTTCTTTTTTAGTCTGAATGTGATTGATAACTATGGGATACTATATGGCCAAAAGTGGACATTGGACTATCACACCTATATAAAGTTGCTGGACATTCCAGTACTATAGAAGTTAATACAGTTGCCTTCTCCCCATTTCCCTTTTCAGCTATAACAGCCTTCACACTTTTTGAAGGGCTTTCCACAATATTTTTGTCTGTGGGAATTGGGCCAGATCAACCAGAAGAGCATTTGTAAGGTCAGGTACTGATGTTCAATGAGAAGACCTGGCTTCCAATAAATTGTCCAATTCATCCCACAGGTGTTAAATAGGGTAGAGTTCAGGACTTTGTTCAGACCACTCAAGTTCCTCCATAACAAACTTGACAAACCTTGTCAGGTCTACAGTCACGCTAGAACAGAAAAGGGTCTTCCCCCAAACTGCTATCACAAGGTTCGAAGTAAATCGCACCACTGTCTAAAATGTCTTTGTATGTTGTAGCATTAACAGTACCTGGAGACACACCAACTCAATCGTTTGGAGGTGTTCCGCATACTTTTGGTCATGGTAGTCAGTTGTCCACAAGCTTTTGCCATATAGTGCACAATTCCTATTAGGCATTCAACACACAACTATGGTCCAGTGCTTTTAAAAATGGAGATCACTCGGGGCTTTAATATTTTAGTGGTGTAACAGATAAACCACACCAAGCTCCACCTCTGTGCCCAGCAAAGTAAGCCCCATCTCCAAATGATGCTGATAGCATGACACCTTTTTCATTTGCCATAGAAGGCACACATGGCTTTACACCATGTGCACATCATAACTTTATTGATGTGCATGGTGTCAAGCTCCACTTATTTTAATTATCTTCAACACCCACATACATGCTCCTAATGGATGCTCATGACACAGCAGTTGAATCTCTACCCATTGGTCCCTCTGTAAGATGGCTTTGTACTACTATATATAAAGAGGAGAGAACATATTCACCACTTGGACTTTCACCAATAATAGTGGGATCTGTGTCGGTGGAGTAACTGGTAGAAGCATAAACCAAGTTTCCACTAGGGCTGTGCCCTGCTGGACGATGATTCTCTTTCCACATTTCCAGTAAGTCTCTAATGCCTGAGGAACAAATTTTGGAAACTGTGAAAAGTGTTCGACAAAAGATGACTAAATATCCTGAAGGCTTAGCAGCATCTATTAGCTGAGCGGCACAAAGACAGACGGACTCAGCGCCAAAGCAGCAGATACGTGGTTTATGCGTTTTGCTAGTTCAAGTAAATCTTTTTTCTTCTGTAGCCAAAGCTGGCTACATCCATGCTACAGGACCAGCAGTATTGGCTGCATAATTTATCACAGAAGAAATAGTAATTTATTAATATTTTAAAGTCAAAAGTGTGCTTGGTCTGGTGTGACCATTCTACCTTCCCTCCACTGCAGACCTTCCTTTTGAAATGCATCATTTAAGAAAAAAACATAGGAATGGGCTACGGGCAACGACCATTTTCCTTCCAGTTAAGGGTACAGTCACACCTTTGTGTGTTGGTGTGGTATGAAAAAAACCTTAGGTGCTACATCACTGGCTTGGTTTCCATTAAACCCACCTTCCATGGAGATGAAAGTTAAGACATGTAAAACACAAGTATAATCCATCTAAAATGCACCACACCTCTCATGCAGAGGCAAAGATGTATCCTAAATCTATCAGAGTCTCAATAGTACTTATCTATTTCATGCAGGGCTGGAACATCTTAGGTAGGTAGCAGCCTAGGCCCTGGTTGATGTCTAGGCAGCCCAGCTACAACAATCATGCTCCTGAAAGGACCATAATATTGGTCAATGCTGTGCACCTGCCTGTCACTTCATGATAGTGAACATACTTGTAGGTAGTGGTTGTCTAATGGGGCAAGCTATGTCAGTACAGTGCAAATGTGAAAGCTTCTCTAAACCTACTGCAATTCTTATTAATGTCAATCGATGGGATGAGGGCCCAAGCTGCTACCTTGCCTAAGGTCCAGTTCTGCCTCAATGCTCTGATTTATTGCAAAACTCCATCAAAATTTTTAAACAGTCTGGCAATGGCTAAAATTTCCTGTTTAACCTCACTGGAGAACTTTTTCCATATTTCCACAAGGCCAATGACTGTGTCTTTTTTAATATGACATTTTCCCACTTGAAGTAACTATTTCTTGGTAATACTGATTTGTAACACTCTGATGTCAAGTTATTGGAACATCTCCATAGCTAGATAGATAAGATAAATACCTTGTCACTGAATGCAAATTACAATGTAATTCTATCGCTTTTTTTTTTTTTTTTAAGATGGATAAAAATAGCTACAACATACTTCTTCATATACCACGATTCTGTGCAAGCACCTTATTTCTAAAGCCAACACAAAGAACAGACAAGGCTGTAAGAGCAGCTCTTTTTGCCTTCCCATGTTGCACCATGGCAGCGCAAAGCCTTTATGCAGTGCCTGCTATACTACTCCTCTACCTGTTGGTGGAGCCTGGGTTGTCTTTGGTGTTTCAGGGTTCTGCACTAAATAGAACAGGTACCACTGCTGCATCCATGCATCAAAAACCTTAAGGAGATAAAAAAAAAAAACATTTATTAAGGTCATTATAAAAGGCATAGATTTTATTATTATAGCATTGTAGAGACAAGGTTTTTCAATTTAACCACTTCCCGTCTGATCCATAAACGGCCGGATGGGAGCAGTGCCAAAGCGGGTTGTTGTTTATAAATGGCCCCCGCATTCACTGCCTGTGCGCGCTCCCTGGGATCGCACACCACCGCGATCGCTGTACGGGACCTCTGTGTGAGTTCCCGATTCATGTGATCACTGATTGGCCAATCAGTGATCACATGAATAGTAGTAAACAAGATGTCACTTGCTGACATCATTGCTTACTACTTGTGAAATCTGTCAATGATCACAGAGGTCACATAGTACAAGGCTATTCACAACGACCTTGTACCATGTGACAAGCTGTGACCAATCACAGCTATCACAGTATTTCTCAATGGCTGCAAGAATGCAGCCAGATAGAAGGAGAAATGATTGCTTTTACAGCCTTTATGGGTGTAAAAGCAATCCGTGTAAAAAAAAAGAAAAAAATATTTTCATCACCCCAACAAATAGTTCAGTGTCACTATGGTGATGTTGTACTGCTAGGGTGACGGTATGTTAAATTAAAAGAAAACAAACGTAACTAAAATATAAAAAAATAAAATAAAAATGTAAAAAAAGTTTGAAAAATTATAATTTTTGGTATAATCTAATTTGGGTTATTTCTTTTTTTTTTTTTACTAAAAAGATAGCTGAATATATTTTGGCCAAGATTTATGAAGAAATATTATTTACTTGCAAAATTTTATAAGAAAAACACTTTTTTTTTCAAAATATTTGGACTTTTTCATTTATATTGCAAAAAAATAAAAATCCCAGTGGTGAATAAATACCACCAAAATAAAGTTTTATCTGTCTCAAAAAAATTTATATGGTACAGTGTTGCATTACCGCTCAATTGTCATTCAAAGTGTGATAGCACTGAAAGCTGAAATTTGGCCTGGACAGGAATGGGGTGAAAGTGTGTGTGTATACGTATATGTGTGTGTGTGTGTGTATGTGTGTGTGTGTATGTATATGTATATGTATATACAGTTGTGTCCAAAATTATTCAACCCCCAATGCTGTAAAGGGGTTTAGGGACTATAGTGTACATTTGGAATTGTATTCAGAATCAAATCCTACAAGGACGTTGTAACTACCCAAATGCAACTAAAATGACATCAATTGTTTATGTAATACAGTAGTAAATGGTTCTTATGTGGTTTCTTCATTGCCACAATTATTCAACCCCTTAAAGACTACCACTCTGAAGAACAGAGGTTCATACAGGTGCTTTCCATCAGGTATTGAAAACACCTGTGGATGTCACCGAGCAGCAATCAAGCATAATAAGCACCAATTAGGCAGCTTTAAAATGACTGTGATACTCAGCTCCTTCTAGACATTTACTGGTGTGGTTACAAACATGGTGAAGGCAAGAGAATGGTCCAGGAAGACAAGAGAAGAGGTGATTTCTCTTCACAGGAAGGGCAATGGCTATAAGAAGATTGCAAAGATGTTAAACATACCAAGAGACACCTTAGGAAGCATCATTCGCAAATTCAAGGCAAAGGGCACTGTTGAAACGCTACCTGGTCGTGGCAGAAAGAAGATGCTGACTTCGACTGCTGTGCGCTACCTGAAGCGTAGAGTGGAGAGAAGTCCCCGTGTGACTGCTGAGGAACTGAGAAAAGATTTGTCAGATGTGGGTACAGAAGTTTCAGCCCAGACAATAAGACGCACACTGCGTAATGAAGGCCTCCGTGCCAGAACTCCCAGGCGTACCCCCTTGCTGTCTCCAAAGAATAAGAAGAGTCGACTGCAGTATGCCAAAAGCCATGTGGACAAACCACAAAAGTTGTGGGATAGTGTTCTGTGGACTGATGAAACAAAATTAGAACTGTTTGGGCCCATGGATCAACGCTATGTTTGGAGGAGGAAGAACAAGGCCTATGATGAAAAGAACACCTTGCCTACTGTGAAGCATGGTGGAGGGTCAATCATGCTTTGGGGCTGTTTTGCTTCTGCAGGTACAGGGAAGCTTCAGCGTGTGCAAGGTACCATGAATTCTCTTCAGTACCAGGAGATATTGGATGGAAACGTGATGCAGTCCGTCACACACCTGAGGCTTGGGAGACGTTGGACCTTTCAACAGGACAATGATCCCAAGCATACCTCCAAGTCCACTAGAGCATGGTTGCAGAGGAAAGGCTGGAACATTTTGGAGTGGCCATCGCAGTCACCAGACTTAAATCCGATTGAGAACCTCTGGTGGGACTTAAAGAAAGCAGTTGCAGTGCGCAAGCCTAAGAATGTGACTGAACTGGAGGCCTTTGCCCATGAAGAATGGGCGAAGATACCCGTAGATCGCTGCAAGACACTTGTGTCAAGCTATGCTTCACGTTTAAAAGCTGTTATAACTGTAAAAGGATGCTGTACTAAGTACTAAGATTGAATGTCACTTGGGGGTTGAATAAAACTGATAATGCTGTGAGCACAGAAAAGACATTTGTGGTTATTTCATTATAACTGTTATGTTATATTTGTCTGACCTACAAGTGCCTCTTTAATGTAAATGTAAGCAAGATGACTGAATGATCAAAAGCAATGTCAAACTGGCCAAAACACTCAATTTCAGTGGGGGTTGAATAATTTTGGACACAACTGTATATATATATATATATATATATATATATATATGTATGTATGTATGTATATATATATATATATATATATATATATATATATATATATATATATAAATGTTTTATTTTTTTTTTTTTTAATTCTAGATAGTGCAAGGAAGGGTTATCTTTACTGTTGTGTGCATCTGAGTGTAGATATTTCCTCTCACTTCTTGTTTTGTCTAATGGACCACAGATAGCAAAAAAAAAAAATTGACAGGTGGTTTAACCCTTCTTTACTATATTAAAAAAATACATTTAAAAATTTTCTAAGTGCAACTGTCATCCATAGCAGCCAATCCGCTTGGATACATTTCTATGAATTATACAGTAAACACTGACCATCCACTCTTGGTCACTCAGAGTCTTCTTCAGCTTCCTCAGATTTTCAAGAATGGTGCCATTCAGTGAAGGGTATTTTCTCAGGGGGTTAGTTCTCTACAGATAAAAAATGCAGATTGAAAAATTATAAATATATAATGTATATACAATTCCCAGGCAACAGAGAGCATTGATGGTTCAGGAATAGAGATAGGAGGCAGAGTGGCATTACCTGTTACTATACAACATTTAATACACATTTCTACGTGACAGCTGTGCTCCAGACAACAGACAAATCAATGCACCCAGGTATTCAATAATACATCATTCTTTTTTTTATGTATTGAGTATAAATACCAGATTTTAACTTGGTATCAGCCTCCCGCACAGTATCAGACTTGGAAAGGGAGGGGCAGAGCTGGGAGCCAATCAGGTTTGCTTTATGCAAATGTATTAACAAGGAAAATGCATATAGGAGAGATCAGAGTGATGACCTTGTCAGTCCGTTGCTGCTCTTCACTATCCAGTCAGAATGCTGGGGTGGAAACAAGACACCACTGTATTCCCTAACTGTACGTGGCATTATCCAACTGGTTGTGCTGTGCTGCAGGGCTGTGTAAATCTCAGGAATGTATGGGCAAACATACACATTCTTTGACTGGTAAACAGCTCCCATATACTTAACCTGTGTACTTAGCAGTTAGCCTAGAATTTGGTTTTAAATGAAGAAATTATAAAGAAGTGAAATTAGATTTTGACATTTGAATAGATCCAGCTACTCACCAGGAGCATGTATTTAACAGCATCTTCCATCTTGTTGCTGTCCTCTGCAATAGCTTCCAGGTTCTACAAATAAAGAAGTTTGTCTTTTTTCAGTAATGTTCCTAATCGTTTCTTAAAATTATTTTAAATGAGCACTGAACTTCTCCATGGATGTTGAATTCCTATCGCCCGACGCCCGGGACATGTAGTTCTGGGCAGGTATTATTTTTTTATTTTATTTTTTTACCTTCAGCCCTGCTGCGGGAAAGCAGCAGGGCTCACCTGTCAGGTGGAAGCATTCGGACGGCAGTGCTGAAAGCTGAAAATTGGCCTGGGCAGGAAGGGGGTAAAAGTGTCCAGACATGAAGTGGTTAATAAGAAGGTAAGCTTAATAACGCACATCCTGAACAGTAAAAACAGGCTCATAGGGATGTATTGTAGTACGTCTGTCACCAGATGTAGAAGGCTGTTCCGGAGTGGAGTGAACCCTGGTCGGTCAGCAGGAGGCGCTGCACCAAGTAAGGCATGGATGGTGAAGCCTGGCTGGGTCTCCAGTATGTCCAGAGCTAGTCACGTTGGGCGTCTGATGTCATTGGGATGCAACGCGTTTCTGAGCATGCGTGGGACCAGCGTCGGCCGATGCGCTCTTTCATTAGGCAAGGAGGGGCAAGGGAACTTGCTCCTCCTTGCCTGATGAAAGAACGCGCCGGCCGATGAGCCTATTTTTACTGTTCAAGATGTGAGGAGAGAGAGAGTCCTGTAAAGAGAGAGAAAGAGACCAGCTTCGCTGCAGACGGGTATAAGAGGGTGTGAGGGGGTGATACTTTTACTGGAACATTTTTTAACTTAAAGCAGGGGATGCATTAAGGTAAAAAACCTTCAGCCTTTACAACCACTTTAACCCCTTGCCGCCGGCGCCTCCCAGCCCTTTAAGGGTTTCAGAAGCAGGGAGGCGGGGTTTAGAGTCATGTGACTGCCGTGACACGACATCGCTCACATGATCAGGAAAAGTCCCGATCGAAAGAGGAGATCGGGACCTTTCCATGAGTAGTGGACATGTGTGCTGGGAGCGCTCAGAGCGCATGCTCTCATCACATATGTCTATTTTTAATAGAACGCAAATGTGCGGCCGCTCGGCGTCTCAACCCAGACTCTGGGAGGCCGCACATTTGCGTTCGGCCAGCGCCAAGAGGTTAAGAATTGTAACTTTTTGTTGGATAAGGCCATACTTATCTGCTAACTATAGTGACAATAAATATAGCCAAACACCTTGTTTTCTGAGAAGTCTCTGCTGGGCTATGCACCAATTCAGTGGCAGGGCTCTTGGTCAATGTAGTCTCTTCTCACCACAACCTTAACAGTTATGCTTTCTATATATAAAGTATACAGGCGCTAGTGAAAATAATAAAGCCGCTAGCACTCAAGGCATAGGTAACAATCCCCACAAGCATATGTATAAACAAATAGGCGTACCCGAGGATGTGCATGCACACGAAACGCGTCGGTTGGAGCGTACATTGCTGACGGCGCGGCGGCCATTTTGGTATCTGTAATTTATATTTTACTACTCCAAGTGGATTTTATACTTTGCTTTGAAAATATAATAAAATGACTACACTATACGAATTTCTGGCTCTTGTGGTTGAGCTATCTTCCCTAGGACAAGGGTCCCTTCTTCCACTTGCGCCTTGATGGAGCAGTATGATTAACCCCCTGGCTGCCTCTCCACCTCCAGATGTGACATACTATATGCCTGATATTATATACCTTCTGGTGAATGTCCAAGGTGGTGGATTCCGATGTGTGATTGATCGCACGTTCACATCCTGCACTTTGCAATATTGCACTTTATCAACATAAGGACACTATTTGAACGCAGTTGTTGGATGGAATTTTGATTATATTATTGCACATATCTGATAAGTGCAACCACAAACATTATTATTGATTTATTTATTGCACTTTAGTGCATGGAATATCACATCTATTCACAGACTTTACTTCTTGCTGATTTTCTATTTTTTATATGCGTACGTTTTATATACATTTATATGCTGCACTTGACTGTTCCACTTGATAGTTATGCTTTCTAAGTATTATTATTGTTACTGAAGCACTAAAATTATTACTATTATTACTGGTAATATGCAACTAGTATTCTGCTGACAAGGTTACCTGTGGAGAGCCGTCTGTATCGCTGACTGCTAGTGGCATATTAAATGATGCAATTCTCAGTTTCTGGCGATTTTGGTATGGAGCTGTAGGTGGAAAACATGACAGATATCAATTTATGCAAACACAGCCAGGAAAAAGCAATATTTTATTTTCAAAAACGTCTTTGCCTTGTCCAGATGATGCTTTTTTTTTTTTTTTAGAGGAAAGTGTTGTATATACAGAGCTTCTTTTCAGCAGAAATACGGGGGAACGCAGTTCCAGCACCTCCAGCACTGAATGTATGTAATAGCAAGGGCTTCTGGGGTGTGCTGGAGGGTCTATTGATGCTGGCTGCTGTGGGATCTATTAATGCTGGAGTGGATCTATTTTTGCAGGGGGTCTATTGTTGCTGTGAAGGTCTATTGTTGCTGGTGGGGGATCTATTATTGCTAGGGATAGATTTTATGTTCCTGGGGGGTAAATTTTTGCTGGGAGGGATCTACTGTTATGAGAGGGATCTATTGTTGCCGATTGCTGGAGGGTCTATTGATGCTGGGGGTCCATTGTTGCTGGTTGCAGGGCATGTATTTTACTGTTTTTCTTGTTATCATTAACAAATTCTATACAAATTATTTAGCACCACAAAATGATACTTGTTTCTGTATTCTCTAAATGGGTGGCATTGGGCGATGGGTAGGGTGTGGAACTAAGGAACAAAGCTTGGAGGTGGGTAGGGAGCGAAGACAAGGGGTCACTTGGAAAGGGAGAGTTCCTTCACCTATTCTCCGAGAAAGAAAGCCCTGTCTATATACCAAGGACAGGGGGGCGAACTGACAGCTCATGGGGCCCCCAGGCAATAGGGGATCATGGGGCCCCTGTGTCCTCACCCACACCCAAAAAGCCTATGAAAAAGGTACCAGGGGCATCTCATGGGGCCCCCTACTGACCCAGGGCCCTCGGGCAGTGCCCGAGTTCCCAAATGGTCAGTCCGCCCCTGACCAAGGAAGGCAATGTTGAACATATTATTTGGCTAATTATTTAAATATTTTAATTTATGTATGTTCATGTTTGTAATTATCACAGGTGTTAAATAATTAAGATGAATTGGGAAAAGTGATTTATACAGGACAGTAAACACCATTTCCATGAAATATATATTTAGCCAGAAAGAAACTTGCTCATTGGCTGCATGTCTTTGGTGAAGTAAAGTCTCCATCTAGTGGCCAACAAGGGAATCTTTTCTTTAGTGCTTAACCAATATGCAATATACTGTAAATCCTATACTGGCGTGTATACTATTTGTTTTGTTGGTTCCCTAGTTTTCAAGACTGAAATAAGCTATCACATATGTAAACTATCCACCCTGCTAATGGAACATTTTAATACAATGTACACATACTAGGGTGGATTTACAAATGGCAAATAGACTGTGCATTTTGCAAGTGCAATATCACACATTTTGCCCAGAGCTTAGTAAATGTGGTAAAGCTTCACTTTGTAAAGAGTACCAATCAGGGACATGATTGGATGATACAAATCAACAGAGCTTTAGCACATTCACTAAGCTCTGGAGAAAATGAGTGCAAATGCACCATCACAGTACACAGTTTATTTTCCTTTAGTAAATCCTCCCCACAGATACAATGGTTCTTTAAGAGGAACACAAATGTACAAGGCAATATCTGTGATCTACATCTGTTAGTGGGACTAAACTCATAAATGAAACCGTTTCCCAAAACATTTATATTCAAGGCATGCCATGATTGATAGCTGTCACAGTTGCTTGTGTTCTCAAATGAACTGTCAAGCCATCAAAAGACTGTTTGAAACTGACCATATGTGCAAACAGAGGCTTAGATGGCAGCTTCCTTTGCTCTAAAGGATATGAGGCTTTAGTTCCACTTTAAATGTCTTTATTGTCTATAACATAACATATTATTCTCAGCAGTCAGCTGCTATAGGCAACACAGGCAGTTGCCGAGTCCTTTTCATTTCTTATGTGCATCAACAACATAGCAGCTCTGTTGATTACTATGTGTGTACTGTATGCTGCAAAGGTTGGTATTAGAGCTTGCCGCTTACATGAACCAGGAAGATTTTTGATCATATCCTTCATCTTTAATGCAGTTGTAGTTTCCGACAGCTGATTAATGGTGGAATTCTGCTGGGTCATGAAGTAGATGGATACGGCTTGACCTGCGATGAGGAGAGCTACAAAGACGGACAGTATGGTCGTTGCAGTACTTTTGTTGCAGGTCAGAGTACTGTGGGGAAAAAAAAGATCAAGATGATTGAACGATGCATCAGGCTAGAAGCTACAGCCTACAACGAGCAAGCAAGCTTCAAGGCACCATTCAAGCATGGCCTTTCCTCCATAGGCCACAATGAAAAAGCTATCTAATACTGGTAAACGTATTGTCATCCTGTATGAATTGGCATTTAAAGTTTAACTGCACTTTTAGGTCAGTTACATTTATTATTATTATTATACAGGATTTATATAGCGCCAACAGTTTGCTCAGCGCTTTACAATATAATGGGAGACAATACAGCAACAATACAGTTCAATACAAGAGGGTTAGGAGGGCCCTGCTCCTCGGAGCTTACAATCTAAGAGGGAGGGGCTAGTGGTACAAAAGGTAGTAAGGGTAGGGGATGGACTGGTAGGAGGAGTAGAAGATTCCATTAGCTGAGGGCAGGATAGGCTTCCCTGAAGAGATAGGTTTTCATAGATCGCCTAAAAGTGAGCAGAGTAGGTGATAGTCTGATAAATTGGGTTAGAGAGTTCCAGAGGATGGGGGAAGCTTTGGAGAATTTACTGGGGTATGATGTCTTTCTCTAGCCCCCTTATGGTTATGGTGGATATAGTCTTTTTTTTTTTTTTTTTTTTGGGTTGATGTGTGAATTGATCAAACTGATCAATCAAATAGCCATAACTTCCCTTCTGATCTATTTGGACTCAGTTTCGGTCAGAATTGAGTTGAGCAGCCAGCTCAGAATTCTATTGATCATTTTGCAGCACTGAGATACTTTGTCCATGAATAAGATCATATTTTTATTGATCATATTAAGAGATTACAACGTGGAAACAGAGATGCGCTCAATAATTTACAACTGTAAAATACGATTGTGTCCCAACTGTTGGGTGAAATCCTCCTCCCCATGTGTGTCATATTGATCGAATTGCTTGTCAACTATAGATTGATTATTCTAATCAGAAAAGAAATCATAGCCACAATTATGAGATCATGTCCCATCCTGTATATGCACACTGCATAATTTTGTTTTCAATTATAGGAAGAGTTCTTAATCCATGAGGACATATGCAGTACACATTCTATAGATTTCCATGGAGATATGTAATTATCTGTTTAACAGTTGCTAGAACATTCAAACCAGGTAAACTGCAAACTCAAGTGAAAGGGCTGCCTAGCCTGATATCACAGCTACACTGGTCAGTCAGACAAGTTTAAATATCCGCTGATACATTTTATTAAATATAAATGTATTTTATCACCCCTAACCCCCTGAAGGCAGCTGGGGGCTCCCAATTGGCTGGGTGGGCTGACATTTTAGCTCAGAGCTGGATCCTAATGTCTTTGTGGAGCCTAAAAAAATAGGACCAGTTGCTTCAGAAAGGTTAGCAGCTTATTTAAACCCATAAACCCTGGAACACAGGATACCCAAAAGAGAACAATATGCAGGCATAGAATCCTACATGCAGTCATATAGAAAAGGACTTTTAGGCCAGACCAGAACTCTGTATATTTCAGACTGTTTGGCAATTGCAGTACACAATGCCACTGGATCAGGGGCGGACTGACAACTCATGGGGCCCCTGGGCAATATGAAATCATGGGGCCCTTGTGTCCTCGTCCACACTCAAACCACATCCATAAAAACCTATGAAAGGTACCAGGCACATCTCATGGGGCCCCCTACTGACCCCAAGCCCTCAGGCAGTCTCTCATACAGATGGCAATACTGGCAAATTTTTTGATAAAGTGGGAAGGTTTAGAACTTTAAAAGGTTTTCCTTGTCCTGTGACAACAACAAAAGTGTGAAAAAAGCATTCTTAATGATTTTGTAAAAAACTGTTTTTTGGCTGTAATAGAGGATCACTTCATGTCTAGAGCAGTGCTCTCCAAACTGTGGTCCGAGGGCCAGAAGCAGCCCTTTCCTAGGGTTTATCTGGCCCTTCCAAATGATATGAGACAATATTCCTCCCACTGACACCAACAGTGGGGCATAATTCTTGCCACTGACACTAATGAAAGGGCACTATTCCTCCCACTAGTATCAATGAAGGGGCACTATTCCTCCCACTAGTATCAATGAAGGGGCACTATTCCTCCCACTAGTATCAATGAAAGGGCACTATTCCTGCCAATAGTATAAATGAAGGAGCACTATTCCTCCCACTTGTATCAATGAAGGAACACTATTCCTCCCACTTGTATCAATGAAGGGGCACTATTCCTTCCACTAGTAACAATGAAGGGGCACTATTCCTCCCACTAGTATCAATGAAAGGGCACTATTCCTCCCACTAGTATCAATGAAAGGGCACTATTCCTGCCAATAGTATCAATGAAGGGGCACTATTCCTGCCAATAGTATCAATGAAGGAGCACTATTCCTCCCACTTGTATCAATGAAGGAACACTATTCCTCCCACTTGTATCAATGAAGGGGCACTATTCCTCCCACTAGTAACAATGAAGGGGCACTATTCCTCCCACTAGTATCAATGAAGGGGCACTATTCATCCCACTAGTATCAATGAAGGAGCACTATTCCTCCCACTTGTATCAATGAAGGAACACTATTCCTCCCACTTGTATCAATGAAGGAGCACTATTCCTCCCACTTGTATCAATGAAGGAACACTATTCCTCCCACTAGTAACAATGAAGGGGCACTATTCCTCCCACTAGTATCAATGAAGGGGCACTATTCCTCCCACTAGTATCAATGATGGGGCACTATTCCTCCCACTAGTATCAATGATGGGGCACTATTCCTCCCACTAGTATCAATGAAGGGGCACTATTCCTCCCACTAGTATCAATGATGGGGTACTATTCCTCCCACTAATACCAGTGATGGGGCACTGCTCATCCTCCTACTGATCACTAACCCAGAGGCCTATGTTTATTCTCATTAATGCTGGGCCTGGAACATTTTCTACCCCCACTGGCTACAATCCGGCCCCCCTAAACTCTAAAGGATCGTAAATTGTCCCTTTGTCTGAAAAGTTTGAAAACCCCTGGTCTAGAATACCAGAAGACATCTTCTGCCAACCTTTTCCAAGGGACAAAGGTCATGGGAAAATTTTAAAAATCTTTGTCCAAATGCTCTTGCCCCCCTAAGATAGGCTAGTGCTCACCTTACTCCATAGGCATCGACATATAAAGCCTTGTTTAAAGTGCAGTCAGCTGAGTTTTGCCTGCAGGCGGTTGGACTGTGCTGCCATGTCTGAGCACCCTCCTATACCTATGGCACTTGAAGCATGGATAATGATGATTTCCACTCTACAGGTGGATGATAGAATGTCACAAGCCTTCATTCTTACAGCCAAGCACTTTGTACAAAATATATCAATGATGATGTCTTTTTATCTGTGTATGCATGGACATTTTCACTATAAGAACAGAAACAAAAAAAAACCGGTTCATACTGCGGTCTTGGAGAGCTTTAAAGACTTGCAGTGCATGGGCCTTCCTGACTGTAGACTGTAGACAGATCAAGTCAAATCAAACCCCTCACGCTACGTAGTCTTGGTAAATCTTAATGAGATTGTACAATTTGATTGTTCCTTGTATGTCAATTTTACTTAAAGATGCAATCTCAAATGTGATTTTTTTCAGTGCCTGACATAAGATTAGCTTTTCATCTAGGTTTGTTTTCTGTTGAGAAGTTAGATGCATGCTATAGTGAGTCTGATATCGGTGGGGCAATTGTGCAATGTGATCTTTGCCTGCAGTGTAGCTATAAACTGTAGAAATCGCCAGATCCCGAAATGCTTCTCCTCAGCAACTGGTGACATCATGCAGTTCTAAATGTGTGATTTGCCAGTCGAATAAATGGCCACAACCACCTTCCCACAAACATGAATCACTTTTTCTCACTCCACCATTGTTGGCATTAGAGTTTACAGTTTTTGTGCCACCTAAATACGTACACAGGGTAGTTTGCCAGATCTACATTTACAAATAGACACCCCCCCCCCCTTTTTTTTTTTTTTTTTTTTTTTTTTTTTTTAGAAAAATCATGTAATTTATTTTTTTCTAGAAAATAATTCTCACCTATTATAATATTCTTAATATATAAACATGAAAATATATCCCCCACCCTTACCCTAAAAACACTTCAAATCACCCTGAGCAATACCCCAGCATCTCAGTATTTAGCAGAATCCATGCACCTCGAACATACAAAAGGTCTTCAGAGATATTCTAGGGATTACTCATATTAGGTGTATGAACTGTGCCTGAGCAAGTCCAGATCATTTGTGTACTATGACTGCTCTGTACCATGCCCGGGACCACTTGGAAGTGGTATTACAGTTCAGCTGGACTCACAGCCGTCTAGGTATGGTCGCTATATCCGGTAAAAATAAAACAGAAGGACATCAGAGCTACAAGGATGGGTATTTACTTGAGGCAGTGTTACACCAGGTAAAATATGCTTGCCTAGTATACACACCATTTAAAGTGTATGTCTGGGCAAAACAAACCAAAAAAAAATAAATAAGAAAAAAAGCACTTGAAATAAATAGGAAAAAAAACACTCTGCAATACATGCACATTTCCCCGTGTTTTATCCCTTTAAACATTGCAAGTACAGAGAATAACCTGATGATTTGTCAGACACTCAAGCATGTTATACTTACCTGCTCTGTGCAATGGTTTTGCACAGAGCAGTCCCGATCCTCTTTTTTTTTTGGGTCCCCTGCAGGTGGTCCTGGCTCCTCTTTCCCCCCCCCCCTGCCGAGTTCCCCCAATAGCAAGCCTCTTGCTATGAGGGCACGCAAGAAGGCTCGCTCCCGAGCCATGCTCCTGTGAATGGACATTGTCTATTCACACGGAGCATGGCTTGGCCCCACCCCCCCCTCTCCCTTCATGGGTTTACTGGCAATGATTGAGAGCAGGAGCAGCCAATGGCCAGCAGGGGAAAACTCTGGCATGGCTGACAACACCACTTTGGATTTTAGTGAAATGTAGACCGCATGGTTGGCTTTAACAGGAAGCTAGGGGCTCAC